ATATTTACCATTCAAAACAGAAGTCGGACGTCTATTAATCATAAAAAAGTTGTAGTAAGAACGAATTCACCCCAAAATTTAAGGGCAATCTAGACTGAAAAAGAAGAGATATGCAAACATTAAGCAAATGCATATGCTTTCTCTCCACAAAACCATTATGTTGTGGAGTTTAAGCACAAGAGGTGTGATGTATTATACCATTATCTTTAGAAAAAAGAGTTGAATTGGTTTTTAACAAATTCAATCTCATTATTTGACCTAAAAGTCTGAACATAAACATTAAATGATTTTTTAACACATTAAAGAAGACAGAAAACCAATAAAAAACTTCAGTTTTAGACTTCATCAAGTAAACCCAAGCACCTCTTGTGAAATCATCCATAATAGTCAGGAAGAACTTAAAACCATATGAAGTAGCAACTCTATAGGGACTCCATACATCAAGATGAATTAGTTCTCCTAACTTAGTTGATTTATGTTCACTATTCTGAAATGAGTTATGAGATTGTTTAGCTTTATGAGACACATCACAAAGAGGAAGACCCTCATATCCTAAACCAAGAGACCCTCTAAGAACATTAAGAGACTGATCATCAGGATCACCTAACCTATTATGCCAAGTTGCCTTAGACACACAACACTGAGTATTTTTTAAAAGACCGAAGGTTATTAACTGAAGAAAGGGAGCCATCAAGATAATAGAGCCCTCCAGATTCATTACCAGTCCCCACAGTCACCTTAGACTGTGAATCCTGATCAATACAGGTAGACTCATCAAAAAACAACTTTGCATTTATTGTCTTTACACAATTTATGAACAGATAGCAAATTTACATTAAAGTCAGGAATAACAAAAACATCAAATAAGGTTACAGATTTAGACAAGTTCATATTACCAATTTTATTAATCTTAGCTTAAGATCCATTAGGATGATCAACTCTCAAATCAAGTTTTGAAACATCAACTTTATTTTCTAAAAGACATTCAATGTGTGTCATATGTTGACTAGCACATGAATCTATAACGTATTTTTTACTGTTAACAATAGAATTACAAGAAATACATGCCATATTAGCAGTCACTTCTGTGCTTCCTTGTTTCTCATTGATAAGACTAAAAAACTTAGAATACTGATCACCAGTCAAGTAAAACTTATCAGATCCACAAACAGTCTGAGAATTGTTATTGGATTGAGTACTAACAGGCTAATCAGCCTGAGTATTCAATGCATAAACATTTCCAGACACACATTTATTAAAGTTTTTATTATCATTATTCCCGAACCTAAAATCTTTTGGAAAACCAATAAGTTTGTAACATCTATCAACAATATGACCTTTCAAACCACAATTTTTACATTGTAAATTCTAATTTCCTCTAGTTCTATTAGTATTAAAATATTTATTTTGATCAGAAAAATTTCCAGCAAAAATATAGGCTTTAGTTTTAGAAGAACTACTAGAGAGGGAACCTCCTTTTTGATGAGATTCTTCTCTAGAAACAATTAAAAAAGTTTCCTTAACATCAGGAAGAGGATCCATAAGTAAATTCTAATTTCCTCTAGTTATATTAGTATTAAAAATTTTCGTTTTATCAGAAAACTTTCCAGCAAAAACAGAGGCTTGAGTTTTAGAAGAACTACTAGAGAGAGAACCTCCTTTTTGATGAGATTCTTCTCTAGAAACAATTGGAAAGCTGCCTTAACATCTAGAAGAGGATCCATAAGTAAAATATGACTTTTAACTTGACCACTATCATCCAAACCAATGAGAAATTACATTAGCTTCATTAATTTTGAATTATTATTAAACTGAGTAAAGGCATCACAAGTACATTCAACCACTTTAGTTAAACCATCAAATTCTTTCCAAAGAGCATCAAGTTTACTATAATAATCAGAAACAGACAAACCATTTTGAGACAAAGAATTGCTCTTCTTATGAAGATTAAAGATAACAAAACCATCAAACTTATGATATGTTTCAAATAACTCAGTCTATATAACAAAATCAGTTTCAGAACAAGCATAACTAGCATAAAAGGACTCAAAGATAGAACCTAAAAGCCAAGAACATACAACAACATTAACTCTTTCCCTTTTGCGAACCTTAACTTCATCATCAACAGGTTTAACAAACGAACTATCTACAAAACCTAGCTTATTCCTACCTTTTAAAGCCCTAATCATAGAGCTTCTCCATATTCAAAAAAAGTTAGGACCAGTTAACTTGATACTGATTATAGAGACAATACCATTATCAGATGGATGTAAAAACAGAGGATCATCAAAATCATAATGATCAATAACATTCTTAGTACCAGACCCTCCTAGAGGTGTCTCACCAATCATGATGAACACATAGAAGAAAGAGCCAATATATCAGATGGACTCAATGATAAGTCTCACCAAACCTGCCTATACTACCCAGATTCGTAGTCACTCTTGGACCTGAGCAAGTATAGTATAGATAGAGAGCCTCACATAAAGTTCAATGAAACTTTGGAACTTGAACAAGGGACAAATTATCCCAAGAACCTGTACAGAAAATAAAAGAAGACTTATAGTGGGGTTTTGCGAAAACAAATAACAACAGGTAACATAGAAGATTACTAGGGGCATCCAAATGCCATGAACCACCTAAACTACTCAAATTTCACCGTTTGCACCAGTTGAGGTTGACCGTGGCTTAACGTTGACCGTTAGAAGTAAGAATATGTTATCTAACGTTTACTCTCAAGCCATCGTTTACATTCAACAGACGAAGATGTCCGAGATAGTTCAAAAATACACCGCGATTCCCAAGAGCAACACAATCGAGCACCGATCTAGCCAGAGAACATAGATCGAACACCAATCTAACCAGGAAGACATAAACAAAGCGATAAAACTGATCGGAACACGGAACGATCAGAACATGAAACACAAATGGAGCAAGGAAAAACTAAACAGAGTAAGAAACCCTAGATCAAGATAAAAACACAAGACGAACATGCATGACTCAGTCTGCTCTGATACCATGTTAAAAAACGCTAAAGAAAGAACTCTAAACACCAAAAATCACAACATCAATAGTTCTCTTTTTATTTAGAACCAGTTGGTTTGTACACATACTTACAAAGGAAACCACGCTACAATAATACACTCTCTCAGGTTTTATTACAACCAAGAAGGAAATGAAAGAATTCCCAGTAAAATTTGTAACCTGGAACTACAAACCCTAAAAGATGAACATTGAAGAACAAAAAGAGAGAAAAATGAGAGCAATACAAAACGTAATATCTAAGCTATCTAATCAAAATGAGAACAACAACTTTATATACTTCGGGCAGAACCAACGGATCAAACGCGGGTATAACTCGACTCAAACCCACAACTTGAACCGAAGAAGGATCCGTATGTCAAGAAAGAATGAAAAAAAGAGGCGCAACCCTCCAACTTTCACAAATAACCAATAAACCCCTTTAACACAAACAACCTGCACAAAACATCCTCAAACAACAAAAAACTTTGCAAACAATTCTTTTATGGCATCTTGAAATAGCAACATACTTTCCAATATTACTTAACCTTGAATTTCCCTCCAGATCCCAACTTCCATGTCCAATTATCATTGTACTGTTAAAAAACAACATTCCCCACCAAAGTCTCCAAAGTCGAGACTTGAGAGGTGTGAGCATCCAAAGTCAACTCTCTTTTCCAATTTTATTTTCAGCCACCATTATCCCGTCTATCAACATTCGTTTTCCAATTCCCTTCTATCCTTGCCACTGTTTAAAAAAAAAACATTAGTTTTTCAATTTCATTTCAGCCACCAAAATATGGTCATTTTAAGAAATACTTATGATTATATACATATCATAATACATGTTTAGGTAGTATAAGTACATGAATACTAGTGGTGTTATGAAGGCGTGGCAAATATCCAAGCAAGTTACAATTTTATGGGATCTTGGCGACAAAAATGGTATAAGATAATAAGAACACAGGAAAGCAAGCTTTGGCACACTTACCGGTTAGTTATTAAGGAGTGAATTAAACCATTAGGACCATCGATAACACGATATTTTTTTTTGTAAATCGTAACGACCATCGTAGAATTTCGTCTAAAATAAATAAACAATATATATTACACAATACACATTTACATGTAATGAATAAAATAGATAAATTTTCATAAAAATAAAATGAAGTCATAGTTTATTAATCGGTCACTTTGAAGTAATGATCTAGCATTTGTCGGATAGTACAAATGTCAAATAAGCGACCAGGCAACCAAATTTCTTGGAGTTGCTTGTACGACTCTATCGAAAATACGTACCATTGTAAATTGCAAAAAGATCCCTCAACTATTTATTTTATTTTAATTGTTGTCCTCAGACTATAAGACATATACTTTTTCCCCTCAATCTACAAACGTCCAGTTCGTTTGGAAGTTGGAAGTTGGAATCCAACTCCTCGAACAACATCAAAATTAAATCACATATATACAGTGCAAGATCCTCATACGTGACATATTTGCTTTAAAATACTTATTTCAAAAATTATCCTTTCTATATTCATATATACGAGTAATAGTCATCAAAATTATCCTTTTTAATGTTACTGTTAATAATGAAATTCTTGAATAATAAGTCATCATATTTTAGGTTAGAGATATAACTCTTCTACATGTACAACTGTACAAGTAGATATTGTTGGTCTTGAAATACGAAATTAAGTAGGAAAATTCTTTCAAACTCTCTTTTCACTCGATTTTTTGCTTTTGGATATAGGATTCACACAATTATAGTAACCTTATTTGGAATTTTAAGATCCTGGTGAAATTGGGATTCTCTAAGATTCTTAGATCCTATTTCGGGTAATACAACATGAGGTGGTGATTTAAACTTATGCCCTTTGTATTACACACTAACTTCAGTTTAACCCCTCACCGCTTAAAAATTCCAAAAAGACCCATAAAACGTGGTGAATCCTGGGCCATGGGAGACGTCAGAGTCACCGAACAGTCAGGTAACCTTCTTTTCAACGCCACGCTTCGATCCCTAACACGCCATCTTACTCTGCTTCTTTAGTGATGCTAATCCTTAAGCATTCTTCTTCGAATCAACAACTCCCACCTTTACAAAATACTCTGTGTTCTTGGTGTTGTGTCTGTGATCGATTCACCCGATACCGATAGCCTTTTAAACTGATCAAAAAAGGGGATTCACGTTCCAGATTCAGAAAGAAATGGCTTCTCTGATCCTTCCCACAAAGCAAAACCCTCCATCGTCTTCGTTTCTACAACAAAATCATCAAAACAATCCGTTTTTCACTAACAAAAGAAGAAAGCTCAAGAGGAATCAAGCCCTAGTTCCCGTGAGTAAAGATCCTTTCTTTTTTTGTATTTTGAAAAGTTCGATCTGATTTTGATGGGTTTTTTTTGTGGGTTAGGTTGCAAGATTATTTGGGCCTTCGATCTTTGAAGCTTCAAAGTTGAAGGTTTTGTTTCTAGGAGTTGACGAGAAGAAGCATCCTGGAAAACTTCCAAGAACATATACACTTACACATAGTGATATCACGTCTAAATTGACTCTGGCAATCTCTCAAACTATCAATAATTCTCAGGTAATTTTCTTTTTCTTTGTTCTAATTTCAAAACCCCTGACGACTTGTTGAATTCCTCTGTTTATCAGTAGTTGTTTTATGTGCTGTAATTATATACTATATAAAGAAATAGAGGATTATGTAGATGTTGGATTCGAATTCGTTACTTTTTATGTTATTTTAGAAACGTCTTAAATAAAGGATTATTATATTGAGTTAGTTAGTATATTAATATAATATATGATGATCAAATAAACAACCTTTTAATAACATATTTGATAATACAAAGATCAAACCATATGTTCTTCATGTGCAAAATATATATACAGTTGCAGGGTTGGTATAACCAGTTATACAGAGATGAAGTGGTAGCAGAGTGGAGAAAAGTGAAAGGGAATATGTCTCTTCATGTTCATTGTCACATAAGTGGTGGCCATTTTCTTCTTGATTTGTGTGCTCGACTCAGGTTCTTCATCTTCACCAAAGAACTCCCTCTGGTAACTAATCAATTTTATTATGCTTTAATTTTGTTACAATTACTTATGCATAGAGTATAGCCCTTTTAAGTAAACACATCGTCATTAGGTGTTGAAGGCATTTGCTCATGGAGATGGGAATTTGCTAAACAGCTACCCGGAGTTGCAGGAAGCTTCGGTTTGGGTTTACTTTCACTCAAACATTCAAGAATTCAATAGGGTTGAATGTTGGGGGCCACTCAGAGAAGCAGTGGGACCCTTATCCACCACCACTTCATCATCATCATCATCATCATCATCATCATCATCTGAATCCACCATTACTGAAGCTGGAGAAGGATCAAGCACTTGGGAGATCCCAAAGCCATGTCTAGAAGCATGTGCATGTTGCTTTCCACCGATGAGCTCAATCCCATGGTCACATGATCTTGTTAAGAATCAAGATGATGATGATGGTGCCACCCACCAAGGGTTGCAACAAAAAGCTTGATCATCAAGCTTTTCTTTATGGGCGTTTTCTTTGTTTATGTATGTAATGATGATAAAACATGTATTGTTTTTTGTATATAGCATTTTTATTGATACCAAGTCCAAAAATATAATTACACCTTAAAACATAACTAGGATATCCTACGTAAATTGTTGGGATCTGTTTAAAAATATTGGGTTATAGTTTTGCATTTTTATTTTATGTATTTATATATAACTCTAGTTTCTCGATTGTGAGTGTGTGATTTCATTGCTTCTAAAAGCTCCAGTTTTTCGGTAATGGGTTAAATGTTAAAGAAATTGATGATCAAGATTATATATCAGAATCGTTTGTTAAGGCTTAAGGATACAACGATAATGGTTCCAATAAAATCGATTATTGGCCGGAAAACATGTCAAAGAACCTATTAGTGAGCCGATGTAATACTTGTGAAAATAATAATATAAGGAATGTACATATTGGTCGAGAAGGGAGTTCAAGAAAACTCAGGCAAATAGATATGCGGTTTTGATGTTGATCTTTATTATGCCACCTTTTGTAAATGGACTAACTCATAGAACATTCACATGAACACAACATATACAGTGGAAAACATAAATCGGGAAGGCAACTATGAAGAAGACTATATAAAACTTGATAATCTTGAAGGTTACAACTTACAACTTATAGGGGCTTTCAACGTTGCTGTAGAATGGGAAGAAAGAGATAATAAAAGGTTGCTTTATTCGTACCCCTTCTCAATATATTATGACCCCTTAAGGCTAATAATGTGGTGCCACATTTGTCACAGTCTACGTAGGTGCCACGTCAGCTTTGCCACACTCCTTCAAACGTTTGTCATTTTCATGGCATGGGTTGCCACACTTGCCATGATATATATATATATATATATATATATATATATATATATAATATATATATATATATATATATATATATTGTCACACCCCAAACCGAGATGGCGGAAACATTCGGGGGCGGAGGACGTCATGTACAGTATCATAACAATACACAATAGTAAAACAAGCAACAATATCCATTGCATTAATAGAATAGTTAATACATGTGTGTTCTGAGTATAGTTGTATGACACCAAAAATTGTATATAGCAAAATATAAAAGACGAGTCTTGAACATGCTTCGTCTTCTCAAAAACCTGATCCAGTGTACCTGTCTACTAGTTCCCTGAGAATACAAGTTATTTTGAAAGAGAGTATCAACATTTAAGTTGGTGAGTTCATAAGTATTTAGTGTCAAGTGTTTGTATTTGTTTCATGAAAATGTTTGTGTTTGTTTAGTAAAATGTTTGCATACTTCCTAGAAAATCCTATATTTTCTTCTAAAATGAAAAGTAGTCTTATACACAAGACCCGACTGTTTTGTATGTTTGTTCTCTTGTAAAAATGTATGTTTGTACTTGAAATAGTATAAAATGTATGTTTTTTTTCCATATTTGTAAACTATCTTTACTAGAAAAATAGTATGCATTTCTCATGTGAGAGTATCATTGTATGAATGTAATGGAAAATGAAGGTTTACAGTAGAATTGTGTAAAATAAACTACTGATGCAATTAACTGCCTTGTAACCAAACTGGTTAATTAAGGTTAAATGTGATTAGGTTATAACCATGCTCGATTGACTAGTATAAAACACGACGTTCTTCAGGCGTCGAAAATGACATGACATTTGTCACCCGTAGACCTGCAGGTCCCGTTGTAGCTAGTAGCGAGCTGTGGGATTGTCAATCCCGTATAGATCTATACACAAACTCACGCTCTCCCTCCAGGAGACTCTGGTTACAAAACGTGACATAGCAAGTATATTGCTATGCCATGAAATATTATCTCATATTTTAGTTATCTTGTTCACGTATAGTATGTAAGTCCCTTTGTGTTCTTGTAAATGGATAGTATACTTTGTAATGTATAGTAATAGTATGTATGTATTGATTCATGTATTGTTCCTATGTTCTAGAAAATAGTATGTATTGATCCTCTAAACTATACCTATTATAGTTTACTAGTATGTTTGTTTGAACTGAAAATGATTTGGAGAAAAGACTCAATTGCCTAACATTTGCAACTGAGTTAAGTATGTACTTTGAAAATGGGGTTTAATATTCATGTATATATTTAGTAAGTATAACTATGATTTAGCCGACATTCGGACTACTGATCCTACCCTAAGCCCACAGCCAAACAAGGAACAATAGTCAAGGTGTTTAGCAATAGTTCTAAGTCCGTTAAAGCATACTTATACATAAATATATAGGAATACGAGTTTGATAATAAACAACAATCTAAAATAGTTTAAAAGAGTTTTTGAAATGATTTTTAACAACAATTATAAGCATAAGAAATCCTTTGTTTGTTTGTTTTCACATGTAACTGTTAACAAAATTCTATTGTGTTCTACTTGTATCCCCCTAAAAGCAGTTAAAAAGGTAAATTGTAGGGGTATGAACTCACCTTAAGTGAGTGATTCGTTTGGATGTTCGATATAGGATGATTGTTTCCACAAGTTAGATCCCAAGACAGAACAAGTCCTAAAATGCATTTCACGCGATATATTGGCATGAAATTAGTGAATATAACCTCAAAGGTGTTAAGGAAACAACCTAGGATGTAAGAATTACTTATAAAAGAAGTGTTAGAAGCGAAATCGAGTGACTGCTTGGAGTTCACGGCTGGGCTTCAGTGTGTACGACCGTAAATGGTTCACGGCTACTTGAAGATTCAAGTGTTTTCGGCTGGAAACATAATTGTGTGATCTTGGTGAAACCAAGAAGATTCAAGGGTTTACGGCTGTAACTCAGAAATGAAGGGTGTTTGATCAATGACAATAAGAACACTAGATGTTCTTATCAAGATCCGAAGGTGAATCAAATGATCCTCGGATGATAGTTGAGAGAAAACTAGGGGTTTTCGGTTGAAGATCTTGAGAGAAAAAGCTTGAGTTTTCGGCTAGAAGTGTAGAAGTGAGGATTATCTCAGTCAAACATATATATATATATATATATAATATATATATATATATATATATATATATATATATATATATATAAGGTAGAGTTTGTGGTCCGAAGGGGTTTACGGCTGCGAACCGAAGGTTTACGGCTGCAAACCGTTTGCGGTCCGAGGGCTTACCGCCCATGTGAGGGTTTGCGGCTCATGCGAAGGTTCTCGGTTCCAAATGTTTCCCTCCAAAACACACAACACTTTTGAATACAAGGTTGATACACTTATAACTCATTAATCTAACCAAATTAATATAATTAAAGAAATAAGTTTGACTTTTATTTGATATGTTTGACTTTCGTTGACCAAGATTGACTTTTACAAGAATGGAATTTACGGGTTGTCACATCATCCCCCCGTTAAAGGGAATTTCATCCCGAAATTAAGTTTAAGAGATACACATGGACTAAGGGAAAAGATGAGGATACTTATGTTTCATTTGATCCTCCCGCTCCCAAGTAAATTTAGGTCCCTGTTTTGCATTCCAGCGAACCTTCACTATCGGGATACGGCTTTGTTTCGTTTGCTTGACTTCCCTATCCATGATTTCTACTGGTTCTTCCACGAAGTTGAGGCTCTCATTGATCTCGATTTCATCGAGTGGGATAACAAGAGTCTCATCAGATAAGCACTTCTTTAGGTTCGATACATGGAAGGTAGGGTGTACGTTACTAAGTTCCTATGGTAGTCGGAGTTTGTAAGCTACACGGCCGATTCTAGCGAGAATCTCAAAAGGCCCAATGTACCTTGGATTTAGTTTAGCACGCTTTCGAAAGCGGATCAAGCCCTTCCGGGGTGAGACCTTCAATAGAACAAGGTCACCAACCTGAAATTCCAAGGGTTTACGTCTTTTGTCAGCGTAGCTTTTCTGTCTATCTCTCGAGGCTTTCAATCGTTCACGAATTTGCACAATCTTTTCTTTCGTTTCCCGGATGATTTCCGGACCAGTGAGAGTGCTGTCAGGAACTTTTCCTTTAGCTAGTTGCGTATCACCCACCTCAGCCCAGGACAGAGGGGATCTGCACTTATGGCCATAGAGGGCTTCAAATTGAGCAACTTTGATACTAGTATGGTAGTTGTTGTTGCATGAAAACTCAACCAATGGTAAATGGATATCCCACGCTTTACCAAAGTCGATCACACAAGCTCTCAACATGTCTTCCAACGTTTGTATCGTCCTCTCACTCTGTCCATCAGTGTGTGGGTGGTAGGCTGTACTCATGTACATTCTAGTTCCCAGGGATTTTTGTAGTGACTGCCAGAACATTGAGGTGAATCTATTGTCTCTATCGGAGATAATAGATATGGGCACACCATGCAGTCATACTATCTCTCTAATGTATGTTTTTGTCAGTTTCTCCATCTTGTCGGTTTCTTTGATTGGCAGGAAGTGTGCAGACTTAGTTAACCTGTCAATAATTACCCAAATGGTATCGAGACCACCCGTTGTCTTAGGCAACTTAGTTATGAATTCCATTGTAATCCGCTCCCACTTCCACTCATGTATCTCCGGTTGTTGTAGTAAACCCGAGGGCTTTTGATATTCTACTTTAACTTTGGTGCAAGTAAGACACTTGCCTACAAAGGTAGCAATATCTGCTTTCATGTTAGGCCACCAATATACCTTTTTGAGGTCCAGATACATCTTGTCTGAACCTGGATGAACGGAGTATCGAGTATTGTGCGCTTCATTCATGACAACGTCTCTGAAGCCACCGAACTTCGGTGTCCAGATCCGATCCATGAGGTATAAGACTCTGTCACCCTTGACTTCTAAGTTCTTATCCATCCCTCTCAGGGATTCACCTGCCACATTTTCAGGTTTCAAGGCTTCCTGCTGAGCCTCCTTAATTTGTGTGGACAGATGTGAATGGATTGTCATAGTCAATGCCTTGACTCTACGACCTGAGTACTCCTTCCGACTTAGGGCGTCAGCTACTACATTAGCTTTACCGTGATGATAACGAATTTTGAATTCGTAGTCATTTACTAGCTCGAACACCGTTGTTGTCTCATGTTGAGCTCCTTCTGGTCGAATATATGTTGGAGACTTTTGTGGTCTGTAAAGATAGTGCTTTTCGTACGATACATGTAGTGTCTCCAGATCTTCAGAGCAAATACCACTACTCCTAACTCAAGATCATGAGTAGCGTAGTCGACTTTGTGTGTCTTAAGCTGTCTTGAGGCATAGGCGATAACCTTTCCTCGTTGCATAAGAACACAACCAAGCCCTTGGTTGGATGCATCGCAATATACCACGAAATCTTCTATCCCTTCTGGGAGGGATAATATCAGTGCGCTGCATAAGGCTTGCTTAAGCGTTTTGAACGCCTTTTCTTGTTTCTCTTCCCAGTCAAAGGTCACACCTTTCTGGGTCAATGTGGTAAGTGGCTTCGCAATCTTTGAAAAGTTCTAAATGAATCTGCGATAGTAGCCAGCGAGGCCTAGAAATTGACGAATTTCTGTAGGCGTCCTTGGTGCTGACCAGTTCTCAATGGCCTTGATTTTGGAAGGATCCACGTGAATTACCTCTTCGCTAACCATGTGACCCAAGAATTCGACTCTTCAAATCCAAAATTCACACTTAGATAACTTCGCATAAAGCTTCTCTGCTCGTAGTGTTTCTAGGATCTATCGTAAGTGTTGACTATGTTCCTCCTTACTGCGTGAGTAGATAAGTATATATCATCGATGAATACTATCACGAACTTATCTAAGTAAGGACGGCACACCCGGTTCATCAAGTCCATGAACACTGCGGGCGCATTGGTTAATCCGAAAGGCATCACTACAAACTCGTAGTAACCATAACGAGTTCGGAAGGCTGTTTTGGGAACATCTTCCTCTAAAACTCGTAACTGGTGATACCCGGATCTTAAGTCAATCTTTGAAAAGTAGCTCGCTCCTTGAAGTTGGTCGAACAAGTCGTCTATCTGTGGTAGAGGGTATCGTTTCTTAACGGTAAGTTTGTTTAGCTCGCGATAGTCGATGCACATACAGAACGATCCATCCTTCTTCGTCACAAACAAGACCAGTGCTCCCCAGGGTGAGAAGCTTGGTCTAATGAATCCCTTGCTTATCAGTTCGTTCAGTTGACTGGATAGTTCCTGCATCTCAGCTGGTGCTAGTCGATAAGGCGATTTGGCTACAGGGGTAGCTCATGGAATTAAGTCGATTCTGAACTCGACTTGACGTTGTGGTGGTAATCCTGGAAGATCTTCGGGAAAAATGTCGGGAAAGTCGCGTACTTCTGGGATGTTCTTTATGTCTTTCACCGTTTGGCTCACTTCTACTACGTGAGCAAGGAACACATGATATTACTTTCGTAAGTACTTATGGGCTTGAATACCGAGATGATTCGAAGGTTCGTGCCTGGTTTGTCGCCATAGATAACTAAGTTTTGCTATTCGGTAGATTAAGACGAACGGCTTTCTCGAAATACAGAATGTCAGCACGATGAAGACTCAACCAATCTATGCCGATAATGACGTCGAAACTTTTAATTGAGACCGGCATGAGGTCGATTTGAAATGAATAGCTATCTAGAGTGAGGGTACATCCTATGTATATATCGTTAGTGCTCTCAGTCTTCCCATTAGCCATTTCTACGGTGAACGTTTCTTTTAGTGCTCGTGGTGGTTGTTTAAGTAAGTGTTTAAATTTTTGGTTCTCGAAACTCCTCTCCGCTCCACTATCAAATAGTATGCATGCATAAGATTTATCGATGAGAAACGTACCCTTGACCACCCTAGGGTCTGCCACAGCTTCCTCATAGCCTATCGCCAAAACTCTCCCTACTCCACCAGTATTCCCCGCTTTCGGTCAGTTTCTCTTGTAGTGTCCAACCTTACCACACCCGTAGCAGGCCTGGCCTGCTCCAGTACCAGGGACCTGGGTGATTGGTCTTGCCGGAGCCTTACAGAAACGGGTCGTGTGCCCTTTCCTGTTGCAGTTAGCGCACTGCATCTCCCGGTAGGGTCCGTTGTGGTGGAAGTTGCACTTCGGCAAGCTCCCAGCATACTGTTTTGCTAGTGCAGGGACAACAGGGGTTATTGCAGCATGAACAACCACAATCTGCTGTTTCTTGGCGGAGTTCTGCGCCGATTGATTCTTCTTTCTATCCCAAAACTTCCTCTTGTTGTTAGTCGCTTTGGCTAGTTCTGGGACAGGGGTTGTTACTGGCGTGCAGAATCCATGGTCAATGAGTCGCTGTGCCAATCGTTTGGCACTGTCGAATGTAGCGGGGTTTGAAGACAATACATTCCCTTGGAAAGGAGGTACCAGTCCCCAGATGTGCCTCTCGATCTTTTTGCCTTCCGTGGGGACCATCCCCCGAACATAGAGCCACTAGATCACTAAACCTAGCCGTATAGGCTACTATGTCAGAGCCTCTCATGGTCAGGCTCCAAAGTTCCTGCTCGAGTTTCTGAACTTCGCCCCTCGGGCAGTATTCTCCCCTCATCAGATCTTTCAGTGTTTCCCAGCCCATCGAGTTAGCCACTATGAGAGTAAGTGACTTAACATGGCCATTCCACCATGTGAGGGCCCTGTCTGAGAAGGTGCAGGAAGCAAATTTTACTTTGCTTCCTTCTGGGCAGGAGCATATCTTGAAGATAGACTCCGTTTTCTCAAACCATTGCGACAGAGCAATGAATCCACCACTACCGTTAAAGGCTTTGGGTTTGCAGTTGGTGAACTCTTTGTATGAACACTCCCTAGGGTGCCCGTGACTATCACCTTGGGTGGAGTTAACACCCGTTCCACCTCCGCTAGTACCACTAGCGTTGACCTGAGCTAAGGCTGCCATTACAGCCGCGATCACTACAGCTTGAAAAACTACAGGATTGAATTGTGGAGGAGGTGGTTGTTGAGTTGGAGTTATTGGTGTATTGCATCTGTTTGATCTACGAGGAGGCATCTTTCAACTATAAGTTTATAAAGATGAAGATAATTGTAAGAATCCAATAGTGAGTATAATGTGAGTGCTCCTTGAACTATATCACCCTAGTTTAACATGTAATTGTTTAAGTGTTTGCAATAGAGGTCTACCACTAGAAAGATGAAAGAATTTGGATAGAGATTTTTCCAAGAGAATTAGATGCCTGTCAATATCATTGGTATTATAGATGTATAGAGTTCAGGAAAATTCGACCTTGTAAAAGGTCTACAACATACAAATACAGAGAAAACTTTGACAGCACAACGACCTAACGAACTGAAAGTTCAAGGACTAGATATAAACAGGAAAGTAATACTAGCGTCTAAAAGTAGACCTAATCTATATCTAAAAGAGTGAGTAGAGTATGCTCTACTCGCGAGGAGTGTTGTTCTGGTTGGTACTAGATTCTTCCCTGGACTCAGCCAGTTGGTGTTCTGTTTCCCACACACGCCTTTCCAATGCAACTTGGCCCTGTAGAAGTTCTCTAACTTCAGGTCGACTGGCATTCAGTTCCATCTGTAGTGCGTCAGTGTGAGTCCTGGTTAACTCCTGGTCATCGGTCAGATGGCGGAGACGAACTGTGTTGACTCCTGAGTTAGCCCTAATTTTCATGACTTGGTCGATGGTCGTTCTTCCTTGTTCAGCATTGCGAGCAACACGACTGTCACACCCCCCCAAACCAGAACGGCAGAAACGTTCGGGGGTGGAGGACTTCATGTGTAGTATCACAACAATTGCATCATAGTAATCAAAGTAAACACAACCATTAAATTTATAAAAAGTATTTACATCTGTTTGATTCATATTTATATACATCAAAAGTAGCAAAATATAAAGATGTGACTCTATACGCTCCGTCTTCTCAAAAGCTGCGGGGGTACCTGTCTATTGATTTCCTGAGAATACAAGCGGTTTTTGAAAGAGTATCAGCATTAAGCTGGTGAGTTCATAAACATGTTTTTGTAATCTGGTTATAATCTCAGTACTTTTGTTAGTACTTAAGTAAGTACGCGAAGAATGCTCACTCATAAAATCCTATACTAACGATTAAGTGTAGAATAAAATGAATCCATTGAATTTAAATGACTGTTTTTATGACCCATAAACTACACCCTATATAGCTTATATGATTGTTCGCATTGAATCTATGTTTCGTGCATTGATAAGGTAATTGTTCCATAAACTATACCTATTATAGTTTATATGTTCGTTAAGGTATTCAGTTCATGTTTTACAATAAAAACTATACGATTATGTTGAAAACTTCCCTTATGCTCATCATTTTACAAAAGGGATGAATATCTAAACGTTTTATAAAATGTGAAAATCTTTGGTTTGAATCAATTGCATGAGTTTTAATCATGTTTATATAAGTCAAAATATTTATTTATTTCTTGCTTGTATCCTCCCCCTAAAAATGTTAAAAACATTAAAAGTGTAGGGGTATGAACTCACAGTTAGACGCGTGAAAGTGTCAGACAACGAAACTGGAATTGAAGACCCTCGGGTTGATGTACGCGACACTTAACGGGATCCTAATAACAATTAAATACATATATGCATTTAATTAGCGAAACCAATAATTATAGTGTTGGAAAAACACTTTCTTTTGGTTTAGGAATGTTACCGGGACTCGATTGAATCGGAAAAAGCGGGTTTTCAGCCAAGTTCACGGCTTGGAAAGGTTTGCGTCCGTGAACTGTTCTCGGCCGTGAACAACCCCTTGAATGGTTTACGGCCGTAAACGGTGTTCTTGAAGAAAATATGAATGTTTGAAGGGTTCACGGCCGTGAACGGATTGCAGCCCTTGAAGATTTGAAGGGTGTACGGTCGTGCACTCAAGAACAACAATGTTTGAATCGATGAAAAGGCTGGTGTTTGATGCTCCAAAACGTGTTTTAAGGTGGATGGAGTGATGGATGAAGAGAAAACTTGAGAAAAGTATGAATGAAGGTAGGAACCACGTATTTATAGGCTGGGGGTATGGTCGGTGGTGGGGGCCAGCCGTGAACGGTTCACGGCCGTTATCGGGTTCACGGTCGTGAACACCACTTGGAACGGAAACATCTGATTTTCAAAGAAAACTCGGTTCTTGCGCGACTTTTGTTTCCTACTATTATATAAAATTTCATTATATAACTTAATTGATGTTCCAAACCATGAGAAATTTGACGAAATCAAATAAAAATTCAAAATTTATTAAATGGAAACGGACTAACGTTAACGGAAAAGTTTCGGGTTGTCATAACGACGAACCAAGATAGGAAGGACCCTGTCTGTTGAGCCTCCCTAGTTCAAGTTATAGAAGCTTCGGTCTCCATTATAAGGAGGTGAATGTCCCTGTTCGTGGCGCCACCTTCCCAAGTTCACTGCCCACAGAGGTGTCGGGCCTTGAAAATCCTGTCGAGGGTTAGGATTTTGGGCAACTTGAGGTGGATTATAGACCTCGGGTTCTGAGTCAGAATCTTCCTGGACTCTTCTTCGTTCTCTTCCTTAGAACTCTCCTCGGGGTCTTCTTCTACTGGGACCACCGGGTTCTCTTCTTTAGGTTCAGCTTCAAGCCATCCACCGTTCCCTTTATCGGGAAAGTACGGGTCACCTTGTAGATGGAATCCAGCCATGTTATCTAAGCAAGAAAAGGGGTGTAAGAGACATATAATA